TTGGGCGGAAACAACTTTTTTAATAACACCAAGCAATGGCGAATGATGATTTTTGGTAATATTTATTTAAGTTGTCGGAAATTTGTCTCCTCGATGGCGGCATGTTGTTGAGTGTGTGTGTGTGATTTTTGCCGGCGTTGCATTTAATTTAATGTGCCGAGTTTATTTATGAGGGACGTCTGCTAATTACGAGTGCTTTTAATGAGCGGCAGTTAAAAGTCGTAACGAGCTTAATTGCGAGCAGCCTTTCATTAATAATTTTGTGTCTGTCTTACCACCTCTCGCTTTTCCTCGCTTTCCGCATGCCTTTCCTTCCTGGCTTTTCCTTGTCTCCGTCTCCGTCTCCACTTTGTGCAAGTTTTTAATGAAGTTTACATTCTGTCTTCGCCGCTCGCTTACCTCGCACAAAAGTAAAGTTAACTCTTTGGGCCGAGTAAATCACTTAGTCGAGCTACCTTCTCTCTAACACAAAAAAATGCGGCAAGGAAAAGCCTTTTTCAAGCCTCCCAAATACCAGGCTTCTCTATGTCTCTCTTTTCATGCCACAGAAAATCAATTTTCTTGATTGAATGTGGCACATTCTTAATGGCCATACAATATCTTAGATTGCAAAATTATTTGCAACTAAAAATGACATTTCTGGGCAACACAATTTATTAGTTTTTGTTTCGGATTTATTGACCAGAAGAAATTTATATTTGTCGAGTCATATATATTTTACTTGCTGATAGAAATCTTCCAGTTAGTTGGCCATTTGGAATGTGATTGTGTGTGTGTGTTTTGCCCCTCAATTGGGAATGCAAATTGTGCGATAATTGTTGCAAATATATATGGAAGATAATCCCCTAAATAAATGTCCGAACAGGAGGCAGGCCTACTTCTTGTGTTATTAGAAAATTGAATTAAAGTTAGCAAAAACTTATTGCGTTAACAACGCTAATTGGCGGCCATTATCCCAAGACGCCTTGGGGCACCTTTCTTTGGCCACTAAATATGTGCTCACTTGTCTAGACATGATTTAGCCAACGGCTGCCGCCTGTTTCGGACCTGGCCAAATAAATCTGCGTTGGGTTTCAGTCTCGTAAAGTCGGAGTTGGGTTTTGGGGGCTTGTGCTTGGGTTAACCAAATAAATGTTCTTTGGGGTCATTGTTCCAATGTATGTGGATTTCTCCTCACCCTTCAATGCGCCATCGCTCTATCTCCCGGGCCCAACACATGTAAACACAAACGAAAGACAAAACTTAAACACGTCGAAATCAGCTTAACAAGTCGCTTTCTGTTTGACTTGTGCGCCTGGCTATATGTGCATGGGTGTGTCCTTGTCCTGGTTCTCTCGGAAAATTAATGCCTCGGCTTAAACAGATTGTATGCGGCCACGGGAGTCAATTGGGATTTATCCAGAGACAAATGTGATTTTATCCAATATATATATACGTATATTATGGGTAGTTCAGTGGCAGTATTTGAATAAAAGGTGAGCGATATCTGCTGGGGGAGTGCTTTTTGATACACTCGGATATAGGGTATATTTGGTGACTTTAAACCAAGATAGAGAAAGAAGTTAGCATTTTCCCCTATATTTATTAATCAATACTTTTGACTTAATGAGAGTGCAAGCTTTATTTATATAGCTGCAAAACTTGAGAGACTAGTCTCATTTAATTTCTCCAAGTGCTTCAATAAGCCAAGGATCTTGTGTTCTACTTGTTCTTCAAACATTTCTCCGCTCAACAAGTGTCCGCCAGCTGTGTGTCCTAATGGCATTGATTCAGCAAATGCTGCCATTGGCATTTAAGGTGTTAATGCCATGCGTCAATTTGCCAACTGCAGAACTCATTAGGGGTGCAGCGGTGCATTCAAAAGACGGCCAATGTGGGTCATCTGCTGCTTGGTGCATTCACCGCACATCCCTAATCACACCCAGAGCTGTAGATATGGATACACCCACGCACTGCCAGGAGGAAGCATACGCGCACCCCGCCCAGTTGGACGGGACATTTGCATGCAGTGAAAAGTTTCTTCTGGCGAAAAGTTTTATAGCCCAGCTGTTAACACTTTGATTGCCTGGCAAGTTTTAAAACTGTCGACAGACCAACCAACCGACCGACCGACCAAACGACCCCGAAAACTTGAACCCGCCCCGCCTCAATAATACGTATGCAAATGCTCTGTGGGAGTAGTGCACATGGCAAATGGTAGCCGAAAGTTTACTCAACTGTAACACCAATTTATTTTGGAAATCTATACGCTAGAGAGGGTATATGGCAAAAGCATGGAGGATAATGCATATATGTACATATAAATGCAATAAATTCTAGTTTATGTGCAAAAACATTTGAACAATGATTGATATATTATTATATTTCGACATTTATTTGTAGTTAATGAGGCATTTATTTTGCATTTTGACATAAAAGTCCGGAAAATCATATGTATGAGTAGAAATAAAGCAAAGTTTTCTTCGCTAATAGTGTACGTGTGGCAGGACCAGCTTTTAGGAAAACCTTAATGAAAATGTAGTACCTATCTAAGGTCTTAGTTCAAGCAATCCTCTTTAAATACGAACTTTAAGAAACTTCCATGAAATTCAACAATTTTTCTTAGCTTAAAAGAGAGCAAAGCCCTTGAGTTTTCCACTTCGATAGCGAGCATCCAACACCTTGATCCGCTTCGCCGGTTAGATAAACACTTGGTAAGTGCATTTAACAATCGACTGCCCTCAATTACACTCCATGGTTCGAAGAGGAACTTCGTTCGTTCGTTCATTCGTTTGATTCTAAAGCTTTAAAGTAGCATTCGATATGCGTTGCATTTCATGGATAAATAGAGCCTTGCTGGGCTTGCTTTGAAAAGTACCAGTAAGTACTTGTGTAAGCATAAGCACGACACAGGGTTTGCCAGGTAGTCCTGTGCTCTGTCATAAATAAATAAGATTAAGCGGGCCACTCGAGTCCAGTGTCTGTGCGAAATAAGTGAGAGAGAGAGTTGGACATTAGGAGGACTCCCCATAATCCGCCATTCCGCCAAAGCGTCGCCAACGCCTCTGCCCCAAGCAAGTAACAAAACAACAACGTGCCCGGACTTGAGAAACATGAAATAAACATTTGCCACAATGCGAAGGACACCAAAAAACATTTCCGCATGTTGCACAAGTGCAGTGACAATGCACGCTAAACATTTTTGAAATTAACTTTACTTAAATGTTGAAAGAAACATTTATTTTAATGGCATTTTCATTTAAACAAAAAAATTAAATCTTTTTCTCTAAAATAGTTGGCAAGGATTAGAGTATAGTCTTCTTATAAACATTACTAGTTGAGTCGATCTTTTTAAATTTTCATAGAAAAGCTGTTTCAAAATTCCATTTTTTGGCCTTTTCTTGACTAGATTTCTCATTCTTTTATTTTCATTTTCAAAAGGATAATATTTCTTTGAGTGTAACACAGCAAAGCGAGAAAGAGGAGCTGACTGCATTCGAAATCAGCGCTGCATGTGCAAAGTCAGACTTTGTGCAGCGTCTTAAGCAGGTCCTTCCTTCTTCTGTGACTCGTGTTTCTCCGGCGGCTCCTCCGGCTGTTCCTCTTGCTGCTCCTCCTGTCAGTTTGTACTCATAATTCAGGAAGTGTGCAGCGCTTTTTTGTCAGCCGTACTTGCATTTCATAACAAGCTGCACGCGCTCCAGGAGGAGACACTGCTTAATAAATGTCATAAAAAGTGCCCAAGCGCAGAAAGTTTTTTAAAAATCAAGACCCAAAAACTCTCAAAGTTAACAATTTAATTTGAAAATTACATTTAATAAAGGGAAGATCGAGCAAAGATAGAGAAAGATACGAATGCAGCGAGGCATTGTCCGCTTTTAATGAGCCTGCAAATAGTCAGCTGGCAAAAGAGCAATACAAATTTGCACATAACATTAAGGCAGCCGAAGCGGCGACGACGGCAAGCAAACATTTGGATAATTAATATATAAAAATCAGTTGGTCGGTGGTCTGTGGCCTGATGTCTGCTCTTATTGTTGTTTAATTAATCAGCCATTGAGCACACACACACACACACACACACACAGACTATAATTTGTCATTGATTAATTAAAAATCTCTGTTTGTGTCCCCTAAATGTTGATGCTAAATATTGCAGAATATTCATGAAAAACTCAATGGGAATATCGAATGCAATTTTCTGTTTAACAAAATGATTATTCATGGATTAAAACTATTGTTGCGGTTAAAGATATACATATGTATATATACATTCTCCCACAGAGCTATCAAATGGTTTAAAAGCAACGCAAAATATGCAAAAGCCGTTTCAAGTGTATTGGCTTTGTTATTTGCATATGTCAGATGTTGCTTTAGTAATGGGATTTTTGATTAAAAATGATTATAAATGCCTGTGGTTTTAAATTTCAAACGGTAAACATTCCTGTTTTTCTTATCGAAATGTCCATCCTGCCTTGTTTGTATCCCTTTAAATAATGCTCAGTAAGTGATCCACGTTAAATTGGCAAACTATTAAGTTTAATCACAGATAAAGTCTGTTGATGTTAATTGACCCACACTTGTGCACTTCCCACTTTAATGAGCTTTAAATCATGTCTGTGCATTAACGATTTTGTTGCCTATTCGAGCCATTTTAATTATATATATATATTTTTTCTACATTGTACTTGGGTCTCCCTGCGAACACTTTGTATATGTCGGCTGGCATTAAACAATTAGCAGAGAATGATGCCCCGAAAAACAGTTGCAATTAGCGGCACGCAAATTGCACTTAATTATATAATAAATTCAATTGACAGCTGCGCTTTTTGTCGCTTCAATATTATGCATAATTTGTGCATTATTTATGGGCTTAGCCTTATCTTTATTTATGCACTTGTTTGCCATTATAATGATACTATTAACGGTATACATTTAATACCTTTTTGACCTAACACCCTTTGTTAACTTTTAATGAAGAGAAAGGTAGAAGGTAGGCAAAGAAGAGGGAATTTTTTTATACTGTTCCAAATGAATTTGTATTACAGGAGTAATGTTAACAATGATTCCAAGTGATTCCATTTCAGATTTTAATAGCTTTCCCGCTGGCGTAATCGTCTACTACGATCTTTGTTATCCAAATAGACTGTCAGGCTGTCTTTGTTGGGCACTGTCATTATCACGGGCAGCAGGTGGGTGCGATTGGCCATCACCGTACGCAGCCGCTTGGCGGTGTCAAAGTCAATGAGGATGAGACCCATGTTGGACTTATAATAGACGGTGTGAAAGAACTTTTCCAGCTCCTCTTGCGTCGTTTCTAATTCGTATGGGATAATGAAGCAATCGTATAGGGTTCTTTATTCATTATACTTATTCCTTTTGCAAGCTTACCACTATCTACTATCATGTAGTTACGAAATTTCTCGCTATGGTAACCAATGCCGGCCAATAGAAATCCCAGGGTCACCTCCTATCAGTAAGGAATTCAGGAAAATGTAATCATATCGATATTATACTTACCGCCTCTGCTATAACCGCGATACGCAAAAGATTAGGGTCTTCCACAGCAATTAGCTCACGCAGGCTGACCAAGCTCTCAATGTCCGATTCCCGGTTTCCATCCTGATAATCAGCCATCGAATTTAGAATTTGGAATCTGGAAACGGAAACAAAGTGGCCCTTACTCTTGCCCTCTGTGTGATGTTTTTGGGAGACAGGAATCGAAAGGGTATGGGGACTAACTATAAATCAAACTATAACAATTTCTAAATTCGATTTTGTATAAATTTTCTTTTATATATTTTAAATTTATAAATTTGATTATGATTTGTTGATTATAAAACTAAACTGCACTTTAGGTATGTAAATATATAGGTCACTTTGTTACCGTCTAATTGCCTTTTGTGATTTTATCCGATTGTCAAAATGACGTTAATTGCGATTAAATCTCGACATCTACATCTCCCCTCGAGCAATTTACCTCAAGTTGTAATTGAAGATTGTAACTTACAAAACCTATTTTCCCATCCCTTTATTCTTTGCAATCTTTAATTTGCCTCGGGCTGAGGCAAGGCACCAAAAATGGGGGAAAAGGCAAAAATGGCAAACGGAAAATTCAATCAAAAGTGTATACAGCAAGGAATTTTCATCAAGCATTCCTCCCTCTCTATATCAAAGCAAAAAAATATATAAAAATACAAAAAGAGAGAAACAAATATTACAAATAGATTTTCAATATCTGTATAAATTTATCAGAAAACAAAATCCAGAGCTCGAGCAAAGTTTTTCCTTCCTGATGAAAACTTTCTTTCTTTCTTTTTATTTTTTTCGTGAAACAAAAACTTTATTGTTATGCACAGATTTCATTTGGATTTGTTTAAAACCGAAACATATTTTCTTGCCAGCCAAGAGAGAGAGAGACTGATGCAAATATATGTATATAGTATTCGTATGGAGAATAAGTGGGAGCGGGCGGGACATGCAAATTGGGGTACTACTGGAAAAGGCTCGGCACAATGGCAAAACAGCAGGTAAAACCCGCCGAGCCGCCAGACAGTAGACCAACAAACATTTACATAGATACTTCACTTCGTTTGCATATTTTTTTTGAGCCCCAGCTGATTAAGGGGTATAGTTGGGGGAATATTGAGCCAATTGAAGGAATAACTTTGCCATTGGGGATTAGGAAAATTGATGCTTAAAGTTTAGATTTCAAATAACACTCAATAATTAAATATTTTCGAAAACAAATATGTATAGCATACTTTTGTGCAATACTGCATACTGCAAAATCGGTTTCTGCATCATTTATTACCATAAAACGTGTTTAAATATCAATAAATCAAGATTGTGAGACTTTATTTTCTATTAATAAATACAGGTAATCCAATAATTCGATCAAAATACCTCTTAAACTTCACCTAGAGTCGACAATGTGCCCATTGGAATTTATATGCAAATTTGTTTTGTGCAATTTCCAATGATTTCACATTCGCTGATAGCTGATGCTTGCTGATACCATTCCCCTGGGTGTTTTTGAGGATAAACCCCGAAGAGAGCTGCAGGCTCTTAAATCCAGCGGTCAACTAACTGTCAGCGCACATTGCGCATACGCCCCATGTGCCGTGGCAGAAAGATAAATGACGTCAGCGGCATCTACATATAGAGGTCAGGACATATTTTGCGCTGTATTTAACAGCTAACCAAGCCGTATTAATTAACTTTTATGATGGGCTCTTGCCAAAGTGGGCCAGAAGAAAGTGGGTTAGATGAGTGCGTATGCGTAATATTTCATTAAGCGGCCATGGCAACCCCAAAACTCAGCTCTCCTTTCCGGATGTTATCTGGGCTCTCTGCTGCCCTCCTTTGGGGGGAAATCTTCACAAGATTTATTGCCTGCTTGAGAGATAAAGTCATTATGATGGCATTATGAAAAGGGAAAGACAGGCAGGCAAGAAGCCAGGCCACCGTGCGGCATTTAGGCGATATGAATCTTTGATGCATGTAATTGCCCCGGAACACTACTACATATGCGCCGCAGCTTTATCATTGATTTTCCTCTGGGTTCGCATTTATGGTAATTTTTTTTTTTGTGTGTGCCCTCCTATAACTTGGGCTGGTGTATTTTTATCGCTTGTCTTGCACTAATTAAAATTTCATTAGCCACACTTTGCCAGGCCATATTCATCCATCCATCCATCCATCTATCCATCCATCCATCTATCCATCCATTCATCCCAGGGCGACCCTTTGACTTTTGTGATCCCCCAACGATAGGCATTAATTATGCATGCCAAAAGTCAAGGCGGCTGAATCGCTCAACTGACAGCTGTCACCGCAGACAATCAACCGTGTCCCGGTGTCCTGTGTCCCGCCCCCAAGGCGCACATAATCAATAATTTCCACGGATGCCACCACACTTACACACGTGTCAGTGAGGAGCACTCATTACACATACATGTATCGCCGAAGGAAGCGGCACCAAACTGCAGGCAAACATTTGACCTGAAACGCCTTGTGTGTGTGTGTCCTCGTGTTTTGCCATTTCACCGACTGAAGTTTTCCGCCTTTCTGGCATTGTCCATTTTGGCAGACTTTCAAAAGTGCCAGCATCGAGTAAGTTGCAAAGAAATCATGCCCAACAAACAGACTCGCCGACACAGAGAGACATGGCGCCTACACATTGTGCGACAAACAAAAAAAAAATTGCCGACAAAATGGCGGCGCCGAAACAAAATGGCAGCAGGGCGGTCAGCAGGAGCAGGGAGCAGCAGGAGACCCACAAAAAGCCATTTCAAGGTGCACTCTTAAAGTGCCCCAAAAAGTCAAGCAGACTAAGTGCTTTTGGTGATCAACAATTTGGCTTTATTTTCGGGACTTTTAATGTTCATTTGGGCTTGGAAAAAGATTACAAATGGGTTGCATTTTCTGCTTTAATAGTCATGTTAAAGAAAGCATTAACTAAGCGATGAAATAACTTTTCCTGTAGTAAAAAACCTTAGAGAAATGGAAAAAAAAACACATTTCTGCTGACTTTAAGGTTTTTATGTTTTCGGACTTATATTATCTTGATTTCTAACAATAAATAACCGAAAAATCTAATTTCTTACAACAAATAAACGAAGAACAACCTTTTTTCTTAAATTTTTGATCCAATTTACATCAAAGTGTATTCAAGGATCTGTACCATTTCGCTCGACTCACTTCCTGTTTTTGGCTTTTGCAATTCTTGCCTTCTTGCCTTCTCTTGGGGCTCTGATTGAATTTCGCCGACTGGCTGCCAGCGGCTGCATCGATGCCGCATATGTTGCCAGTTGCTCGCATCGCATCGTGTGGCAAGAAGTTTATTGAAATCGATCGAACCGACGACTCCGGCTTGGAGTCTCGAAATGAAATAAAGAGAAGGACTCGGGCGCCGTGCAGTTTGCCATTTGCATATCAAGTGGAGAGCGAGTAACGGAGTGCCAGCGAATTTACCCAGATTTATGTTAATTTATTGAATTTAATTTTGATTTTCTCTCACTGTAACGATACATGTTTTTTGGTTGTCCGGGAGTGAATCTCGACGGCGAATAAATTCAATCAAGTTTGGCGCATAAATTACACACAAACACATACCTTTTTGGGTGCTAAGTATAAAAAGGTGCGTACCTTTAAGATGCCAGCCATTGGAATAACAACAATAAAGAGGGACTGGCCCATTTGTTGCCATAATTTTATGTTTATAATGGCAAAAGTTTTTGAGGGCTACCTTTTTATGTCTGTGATATTTGAAGAGGCCAAAGCCGAACTCTGAGGTCAGGTCATTAAAATACCAGAACCAGAGCCAAAAAGGTTGCCCTTGTCCCTCTTCCCTGCTTTGTATTCATTAAGTAATTGAGGGAAAGGTGTGCGTCGAGTTGGTCAGGGTATGGACACAAAGCATCTGCGGTTCTGGTGTCATCAATTATTTATATACTAATTTAATTATTATTTAATTTGTCATGAATTTCATTCGCCACTGCCGCTACTCATAATGATGATGCTGATGAGGTGTTGAACGTACATTAACTTTATTATCCTTTTTGCTGTAGGTATTCCTGCAATTTCCAGAGTTCCATTTGCTGTGCAAAGTAGACAATGCCAGATGAAATTATCACATTGCACAGGAGCCTAAAGTGTCCTGCGATAAGATTCAAATTGAGGTAGGTCGGATTCTTTTTCCTAAACCTGTCGGTTAGAAAGCAGATGGAAACCGATTGGCAGTCGTGTATAGAGATTCCTGAAAGGAACTTTAAAAGTAAAACGAATTTACTTATAGAAACTTTACAATATCTGTATAATCTTACCATTATGTCCAATATATCCATTCTCTTAAATGTGTGGCCTTTCCAGGATTTTTCAGCCAGGAAGGATTTTATTTCAGAGATATTTTCATCAGTTGTGTAATACCAGCTCTTTTGCATTAATTTTAAATATTCCTTCTGCTGTATATAGGCTGAAGCAAATAGCAACATCACCAAAGCCAAGTGCCAGGTTAATAAGAGTAAAGATTTAATCATCTGATCGCTGGAATCTGACAGATTGTCTATATCTTGACCAGCCCAAATTGCCTCGTCTTCCAAATCATTCTGCGACTTGTGTATTACTTTATTGGAATCGAAAATAAAGTTCTGCTGGAAATGATTAAATCGAAAGGCTAACATATACATAAAGCATATATATGCCATTCGAAAATAATAGCCAGCCAAAATATTCAGCTTCTTGTGAGTAGGAAAAAGGATATTCAGTTGCAATTGATACAGTTGGAGGTTTCTATGTAAACGAAGTTCAGTTAGCGATTGAAGCCAGGCGGCATTCATTAGTTGATACAGGATATGCAGCGACATAATCAATACTATCATAAGTCGGGGTAAACCCATAAGAAAATTGAATAATTGAAAAAGCCCATCAATGGTGACATTATGTTCAGCATCGAACACTTTTGGCCAGTCATAAAGGAGACTCTTCACACCAAATATTCCAAGTAAAAGCAACAAAATAATGCTGTAGGTAAAAATCAGCCAAGAACATTCTATTTTTAAATATTTGCCCAGCAAGAACCTAAGTTGTTTATATGCCAGTTGTGACTCATTTACCAAATTATACAGCACATTCTTTTTAAGCCAAGACCAGACGAGGGTGAGGAATATAAATATACTGTAGACACGTTCATTTCTCAATTCTGATTTACTGTTCACGGGTCTGGCCTCTATATTCAGGGCATTAACCAGCTCATTCTCCTTTTCCAATGCAGTGCTCACAAAATTAAAGAGCAAAAGTATCAGCACCATAAAGATGGCTATAAAAATTCGGCAACAATTGGCTTTATGCTGATATTCTTTCCTCGATTCACTGAATCTCAGCTGCAAAAGTCCTAGAGCGCTGAAGGCAAAGCGAAATGCTTTAACTATTTTAACGATGAAGTGAAAGCGTGCCATTTCGAAATACAACTAAATGTTATAGTGAAATTGAGTCCTTACTATATAAAGTCCCCTTCGCGACCGTTAAGTAATTGATAATTAAGTTAATGTGGCTCATTTCGCTTGTTTATTATTATTATTATTCATTCGAATTCATCGTAGAAATAAAAGCGATATAGTTGACTAATTGTTTGGGTCACATTGCCATTGAAATTGTCCTGGGAATCGTATTCGTAGTCCTCGATAATTAGGGTTTTGTGGAAAAGTAAACGAAGACTGAGCAGTAGGAGAAGTTCGCGTATGTGAGTCTTCAAACACATTCTTATCATAGTCAATGTAAGACGAAACTCCATGTTTTTATGCCAAAAGTGGCTAGAACCAGCTGTGTTTTGTTAATTGTAGTACAGGAAAGTCGTTAGAGAACTGCTGAAGCCAAATTTCCCTTAGAAAATTTAGATTAAATAAATAAATAAGTAAACTTACCATCATGGTAACCACATCCTGTTTATATTTAACTTTCTCACGTTTCGCATAAAGGTCACCCCAAAGGCCTGTGGCAGAGTTCGATGTTTCAGTAAACGCCATGATTTAAGCACAAAATAATCGGGATCATCGGCTAATCTCAAGTAACTCCTTTGAAATTTCCGATGCTGATGCTGCAGATTGTAAGCAATTATCAAAAACAATGCCACAAGAAGTAAGTGTAATGTCAAGTGAATCAACTGAACATTCAAATGTTTTCCCGAACTTTTGAGTATCATAAGCATTTGAATGCCTGGCTTGATCATAAAACTCAGCACATGTAGGGCAAAATATCGCGAAACATTTCGATGATTCCGCCAGATAATTGTCTGTTGTCTAAGAACTCCCTTTAATATATACAATCTATCGCTTCTCATGTCCTGGCTGAGGAACTCGTTCAAGGCTCGATATATGCAGCCCAGCCAAATTAGATAGTTTCCAAAGAATAGTAATTCCAAGTGATAGATAAATCCCACGCCTGATATGAAAACTGCCTGATAAACTGAATATATACGAAGTTGCCAGATAATCAGCAGGATAAACATTACAATCAGCAGCAAGGTATATACGCACTCCTTGTGAATCTTGACACACAAACGACTGCCAAGATTAGTTTGCATTGATTTATATATACCGGCGCATTCATTCAGTAGATTCGTTAGATGTTTTCTTAGGATCAAAAAGTACACATATAGCGGCACATAGAGCATATCACAAATTGATCAAAGATCCATCGTTGACTAAAGCATAGATATAGCCAACTGGCCAATAAATTAACCACAGCCATTAAATGTACATAGAGTTGTTCGTCACAAATGAAACGTCGCAATTGCTCCGCATAACCGACATTATAGAACCCTAAATATAGACCGATCCTTCCGGTCTGATACCACACACAAATCAAGTGACACAGGCAAAAGCCTCTGGCCGTGGCGTGTTTATCCATTTTTGGCAATGAACTAAAGGTTAACTATCATTGAGTTTATATCTGTAAGAGAAATGGTATTTCGTGGTAGCTAAATATAATGTCGCGATGAAATTATATTGAATGACTAAGGATAATTACATGAATGATTATTTATAACTGCTGAAAAGGTTAATACCTTTCGACTTAATTAAAGAATAAAAAGCAAAAAAATAGGTTTATATTCTAGCATTAAGAACAAAATAAATTGGTAACAAATTTCTGCTGAAATTGTTTACTATTCGAAGTGAAAAACTGTCTTTGTTACGATTTATTGTTTCGCATCAAAGGCTTAATTTATTTAAACTCATTTTTTACATCCATAAATATAAAGAGTATTCCAGCATCAATTATTCCATTGTATACGTACCTCTCAAAGCACGAATGCCACCATATATGTCCACATTACTTGGAAAAAAATAACGACAATCATATTTTATGCTCTGTTTATTTGTGGAGTTGCACTCTGTACCGCTTTAACAGTTGACACTCGGATGTGGATGCGGATGAGGATGTGGGTATGGATATGGATATGGCTATGAAATGGGTAGAGCACTTAAAATGGCATAAAGCCATAAGAGGTCACCACTCTTCCCTGTCCTGTCTGGCCACCGCTATCTCACCGGAGCTCATTCTCTTCCCGGTTGGTGACCATCATCTTGGTCGAAGTTTTTTTTTTGTAACCCACCGACTTTTTCATCGTCACGGCAAATGGTTTTACACGCATGTAACTTCCCCTGCCTGCATATATGTATGTACAATGCAGTAGCACCATGACCATTCCACAGTGCCACAGTTCAGGCCATGTGTGGTTGCATATAACAATGGCAAAAAGTGCATGTTTTTATTACAAATTGCAATTGTGAAAAATTTTATACATGGCCGCATCGTTGTCCTCGGCGACGCCGCATCGTGTCACATTCCCGGGACCTTCATCCTGTAACCTGCATGGTACGACAAAAAAAGGGAGTGGCCAAACAGTGGCAGGACACTAGGGGTACACTGAGAATAAAGTTCAGGGAATCAAGATAAAATTCGTGAAAGTTTTCGAGCATTTAAGGGATCAATATCAATAATATATTTATGAATAAATCGATATATTATGATTGATATTTTTCGATACTTACGATATCCTTCGATACTTAGAAATTCGCAATATCAAACTACTATATTTTCCATACATTAAATCGATATATTATGTTTTATATTTTTGATACTACCGATATCATTCGATACTTAGAAATTCGATATATCAAACTTTTCGATATTTTCCACACGATTTTTAAATTTCTTAAAAAGTGAATGATTGCAAACCAAACATTTTTGATCTGGTTTTAATCGCTGTATTTCTTAAAGTGCAATAAAGGGTTCGGGGGAGCCTAGGTGCTGGAAGCTGTTCCTGTGATAGTGTCGCCAAAAATAAACTGCCACATAAAATTCCTACCGCATATCCTGTCTGTGTCCTTGCCACTTGCCACACAGGCTCCACAATTTTTTTTTTGTTTTTGCGTGCGGCATGCATAAAGCAAATGAATTTATTTTTCGACTGCCATTTTTTCAATTTAAATGCTTTTTGCCTTTGGCTAGTTGAGAGTCTTTCTTACTTTTTGTGCATTATTTTTTATTTTTGTTCATTTTGTTTGAACTTTTTTATTGGAATTTTTCTTTTTGATACGCTTTATCCAAATATTTTTTTCGTCGATTTCGGTGAGCTATAAATTTTTGCATATTTTCATTAGTTGTCAGCGCTGCTTTTGATGATTTATGCATGTTTTTGATGCTCTTTCCCTTTCTCATTCTCTCGTCCTGTCGTAATGTCGTCCTGCCTGCCTTTCTCGTTCCACATGCCCTTTATGCATTTTACAAAGAGAGGAAAGTGATAAAAAAAATGAAATAAAACAAACAAACTTATTAAAAATTTAGTTCAGTAAGGCAACGTTTTTAAGCTAATGAAAATTGCTGCTGCAGTTGCCAGAATGTTGAAAGTGGACAGCTGCGTCAATGAAAAATCCGTAGAATGGAGAAGAGTGTAGATGAGGTGGCTAAGAGAAAAGGAAGGGTCTAAACATTATGTACTAACTTTATTTGGAATAAAAAATTGTGGTAAATTTTTACCCAATTAGTTAATTAGGTTAGATGCAAAGTTGTTTTATACTTTAAACTTTCGATATGAAATTAGTATTTTAATAAAAGGGAACTATTTAGTTTTTTGTACATATAATGCCACCCCCTTTCTTTTTGTCTAATGAAGCCAGACATCCTAAATTTGCACATAATGAAGAGGTCATCAGATATCTGCCACCTACTCTTGGGTGTGATGTGACTCCGACAGCAGTTGCTAACGCTCTGATTGTGATGTTTTCCAACGCCCACGTTCCTGTAGCCAGGACCTCCGCCGACTGACGTCTCTAATGATTGTTTGACAAACATGCCCGGCTAACTGTCTCTGCCCCTTTTCGCCTCTTTCTTCCACATGGCTTTGAGCCCGGTCGAAGGTCTTTATTGAATTCCAACGTGGCGCCCGGACTGGGCCTTCATCCTTGGTCCTTGGATATCCGTGCTTGGGCCGACATGTACAGGATTTTAAAAATGCCACATAAAAGCGCTGAAACGCTACGACACGAATTCAAAATTGAAGTGACAAAGTAAATGGCGAGCAGTAAAAGCAGAGTAGAAAAGTAGGTGCACTAAAAGAATGGTATTATTAACCTTCCAAGAGGTTTAGAGTTAGTTATAATAACTAAAAAGCTCTTTTTAGGAAAGTAACATTATCATTGTTTAGAAGCAAAGCTCATAAGAAATCCTTTTATTCTTTATAATAATCACTTGAAAATAAAAGGCATATGAATATTCTTGAACCGTCTTTCAAAATCATTTCCCAATATAAAAATGTATAGATACACGATCCAGGTGTTTAAAGATACTAATTTCTCAGTAAATGGTACTACATTTCTTAAAGTGTACCTGTACCAGGAACGTAGAAGTGGCGAACAACGAAGGAGCCGCTTGAGTTTGACAGTTTTGGGTTATGCTGCGATGAACATGGCCGATATGCTGCCATGCAAATCTCCCTCGCAAGTGGCAAGTCGAAAGTCAGAAGTGTGGAGAGAGTAAGCAGCGTTTGAGACTTGAACAAATTAATCGCCAATCGCCATTCGTTGCCGACTCGAAAGTCAGGTTTGACCGAGTTTACACACTCCCTCGTTTTATTTTCCGCTTTTCTTTATTCACTTTTTTTTTTTTCTTTCTTTCCTGGGCTCGTGTCGCTTCTGCAAAGGTGGGCTTGTTGGGCTGCGGTGAATTCCCAGTTTGCAAATAAATTAGTTTGCTACGTGAGCGACGCAAATCTGAAGTGGGTTTGACAGCGGTTCTCCGCTTCTCGATTCGTTTCGGAGTAAAAATTTTAAATATTTAAGCGTGTGCAACTTATCGATTGGGGACTGACTACAGAGTTCGCTAATTGAAGTGGTTTCAGTGTGTGGCGATGCCATCAATTATCCGCAGCTCAGAATGCTTTTTCATGCTAAAAGCATTTGTCCAGGGTACCCAAGCACAGGGCCAGGTTTACACTGACCTAAAGAAATGTTATATATAGTAAATAATTGTGAAAGATATGGATATCAATGGAGATTGTAGATAGGTAAATAAAAGAAAATAAATATTCATTGATGTTTATTTGTTAAAGAATCATTTGTTTATTTTGCGACCGCTTACCTTTTAGAGAGAAGATTGCTCTTGAATACATGATCGTTCTAAGTCTCTTCTTCACTCCACGCTTTGCTTGCAATGTAAAGCAGCAAGAGCTTATGAATTTCACAAAGATTCATTATTAAGAATCCTATTTGTAATGTTCCAAACTTCTTCTGATACCAAACCCAATATTCTTGGTTTTGATCACTGTGTAAACGTCATTTTCACATTAGAGCTAAGCACTCACCAAATTGTTATTGCCTCCACTCGCATTTTGCTCCTCTGGCTGTTGTCCTGCCGTTCGTTCTGGTGTCCTGCTGCTGCCTGGGTGCCATGACTGCCGTCGATGTCGTTAGTTCAATTAGTTGGAAACATGCCGCTGTCAGCGCCGCTGCACAAGCTGCACAATCTACTCTGCGTGTGCCACATTGTCAGCTACTTCGATTACCAGAAGACGGTCTGCCACTTGCTGTGCATGTACAACCTGCGATTCAATGAGGCCACACAGAAATTTACATTCGGTCATCAGGTTTTCATTTACTTTGTGTATTTCTGGAACTCGTTGACTCTAATGTGTTACTTCCAACTTTTTCGCATGTATCTGATTGATCGCGGGAGCTTCATTATATACGCACTGCCGGGTTTCTACTATGTAATGTTGAGAAAATCTATGCTCAAGACACTCAATGATATGGTAAAGCTGCACTCGGATCTGCAGTCCACAATGGGCACTCTATTTTGTGTCTCTGTAAAGCGGGCTTTTTCTGCTCCTGTCTGATATCTATCGAAATAGTAGCAGTTTTCTACTGGCAGATAACAACGATTAATAATGAGTATCAGCAACGATATTATATAGTCACTCACCTGGTTGGCTGGCATTTTCAGCTCTTGCTCCAGGTGAATAGCTACATTTGGCTGCAGTCTCTCTATGTGGTTATAAATCAGGTGTTTAGTGCTCGCCTCGGATACAAACAGCGCTGGAAAATGTTAAGAAATGTCCTAAAATTCACTGTCAATTGAGAGGAATTCAGGGAGATATATCTCATTATTTCAGTGTTTACATTGCCTCGGTGATATTTCTCATATCATTTTGCTTCTACAGGAGTGTTATTTTTGAGTCTGGTTTCGATTGGGAACAGAGTCGTTTGGTTCTAATGAGTGTGGAGTTGTGGCAGCTAAGATATTTGGCAAATATGTTTTTCCTTTTCGGCACCCTGCTGATAGTTGTGTTGGATTACAAAACGGAAAGGGATAAATTTCTTGAGGGTCTGTGGAAGTCTAAGGGTATCAGTCGTAGAATATTAAAATGCAAGAAGTCAACTCGGTATTTAAGTCGCTGCAATCAGACCTTGGATATTGTGGATATGATGGTGAGCGAAGTACTTTTATCCTAAACATTTATGTTAATTGAATTAATTCTAAGCTCCTTACTGGTAATCCACCCTTTGAAATGATCTGTTCGGATGTCACCATCTGTGAAATAAGAATGAAACAGGATTCAATATTGAACTTGAAGATCACATCAATCATCAATTACATTCGCCTGCTGATGCTCAACATGTGCCTTGTACCTTTAGTGGCCCTGTCCAATGGCTTTGAATTCTCATTTGAGCAAAAACTCTTACTGAACATTACAAGTCCTATATTCGAATCTGAGTTTGGGTCATCTAACGACAGTTTCACCTTGGATTCTTATGTTCTGAGCCTCGCATTGGGCGAATAAAATCAATGAGACCCATGCTGGATATTGGCCAAACTTGAGTGATATAATTATGCAAAGCACGTTTTCTGTGTGGGTTGCAGAATCGAAATAAAAAACCGAGCTGAAAGCAAAACCAATAAATCAAAGGAAAAAGGATGCTAACCCATTCATTACACAGCAAACACTCAAATGGGGGCCGGTCCACAGCCACTTAACCCCACTCTCTGAATACATACAAAAATGTCAAACTGGAAATCTATTAAATCACTCGAGGGGCTAGATTTGTTCGAGCCTTAATTAGCTCATAGCTGTGCAACGTGGCGTATGATTAACACGCGACTAATGAACGTCATTGCCTACACAGACACAAAATATTACCAAGGAAATATGGAAAAAATATATCACAGTATCAAAAGTACATTGAACATGTATGTTTTTAATAAAGTTGTATTCAAGACAAGTTCTAGATATTGTTAGGTGTGAAAAATAATCAAGTCAATATCTTTTTAATATATATATAGATATACTTGAAATATCCAGTTATTCTTATTGATAATTATGGATAAACCCGAGCAAATGTAACCACATTCAATGGGTTTTTTCGCCGTGCAACTACTACTGCTCCTGACATCATTCGGCTGTAAATGATTGAATTAAAATCCATTTGGCGGACCTGGCAAAATCAATGGAGTTATGGCTCGTCCACGCCCACTTCAGTTCAGTGCACAGGCGGAAACTATTTCCGTGATTTCTAATTTTCGAACACAGAGAGATTCTCGCGACGCCAGTTGACTGGAAAATCTTTCGATTAACTGCATTCGCCGGAGCAGGCCGTGCAACATTAATGAGGCAAACGCCCACCAACGCCCATTAGCAGCCTCATTGTCGCCCACCCAAAATGCACACACACACACCCAATTCGGACTTAATTGATATGCATGTGTGTGTGGAGAGGGGGGGGAGTAGGGTGTGTGTGTACAAAAGTGGTGTGTGCGGAGGTGGATTCGGTAAATGCAATTTCCTTGTTGCTATTGCTATTGCTCCTACTGCTGCTGCATTCTCTAATGAGTTCGAAATAATTCCCTGTTAGGTCCTCTGTCCTGCTATCTGTCCATCTATATATACACCCCATTAAAGCCCCCGAAAATCATTTGATATGCGGCCCAATAAATTGTGTAGTTGGATACAAAAAAAAAAAATGAAAAAAGACTCTAAAAACAACGAAACTAAAGAGAGCGAGGGATATAAAACGGAGGAGAAAAAGCAGAGCTTACGTATTGCAATTTGTGCAAAATGCAAATTTCCTCACTGATGACAGCCGCAATTTTGTGCTCCATTGTTGTTAGTGGCACTCTGGCTATTGCTGTTTGTTGTTGTTGTTGACATTGTTGTTGTTTGCCAACGTCCATTGTTAAGGACATGAGTGTGGACTTGTGTATATGCGTTCAAACATGTTCACAGGCCAGGTTAACTGAGTAGAAACCAAATAATAACAAATTAGGTTGAACGACAGGCAGCCTCTAAAATGTTTAGAATGTTTTGCATGCATATCATTCGGTAACAATTGCATAGCTTATTTATCCTTAGTTATGGGTTTTTTAACCTTTGATTTATCCAAAAAGTTATATTTGGGTTACTCCCCGGATAGTCATAACGTCTATGATATTACCAATGCAGAGTATTATAATTTCAGTCAAAAGCTTCAAAAGCAGTCAAGGAATCATTTCCGACCCTATAAATCATATATATTCTTGATCAGCATTAATAGCCGAGTCGATCTAGCCATCTCCGGAAGAAAAATAAAAATTTCAAATTTTTTGTATAAATTTATCGTATTTTTTACTTCGCTCAAAGTTTAAAAAAAATGAGAAAATTTCAAATATGGTATACTATTTTTTTGAGTATGTAGATTTATTATCCTTATAAAAACTAACACAGAAAAGCTTTCCAAATAGAAATTAGTGCTTTTTTGGCTTAGTTAGGAGTTTTTTAAATTTTGATTTATTCAACAAATTGTCATATAAAACTTAAATAATATGGTATTATAGTTTTAGTCAGAAGATTGTAATGCTATGAAGGAGTCGTTTCCGACCCTATAAACCATATATATTCTTGGTCAGCATCAACAGGCGAATCTTCCTAGGCGTGTAGGAGAGAAAAAAATTTTGAAATTTTTTTTCAGAATTTTATAACAGGTTTTTACATAGTTGACATTTTGAAATTTTGACAAAAATTTTAATACTTTAAAAATTAAATTTAGGTATGCAGATTTGTTAACCTATTAGAAACTAACACAGAACAGGTTTCCAATTCGAAATTAATGCTGTTTTGGCTAAGTTGTGAAACTTTTAAGCTGCGGGTTATAGAGAAATCTTCATATAAATATGGACCCATAGATTGCGAATATTTATACCTTGGAGGGTATTCTACTTTCAGTCAAAAGCTAAAAACACAGTGAAGGACTCGTTTCCTACCCTATAAACTATATATATTCTTGATCAGCATTAACAGGCGAATCTTTCTAAGCATTCAGGAAAGAAAAAATTTTTGATATTTTTTCCCCAAATTTTATGACAGGTTTTTAAATAATTGGCATTATGAAATTTTGACAAAAATTTTAATATTTTAAAAATTAAATATAGGTACGCAGAATTATTAAGCTATTAAAAACTAAAACAGAACAGCTTTCCTAATGGAAATTAATGCTTTTTTGGCCTAGTTATAAGTTTTTAAAATTATGAAGTGTCGCTTTCGCTTTGAACTACTTGCAAGTCGAATTTCTTTGTCTTGTACATTGCAGGCAAAGCATGGAAAAGAGCGATAGCTATAGGTAGTAAGCAAAGCAAGCAATGTGCCAATTATTTAAACCGATAACTCAACCAACCAATCTCTTGGAAGCTTATATTAAAAGAAATTCCGACTCCTGCGTACTCTGGCATTTAGTTAGTCATATTTCTCATTTATCCAAAGAATCTATTCCTAGTATCTCGCCCCTAATTGTCCCGCAAGGCAGACAGCGTCAGGCACATACCAATAAACACAGTACGAGTAGGGCATAGGATGAGGACGAAAGAGGCAGAGGCCTGGGCCAAAAGCCAGAGCGTCGGGGTCTGAATTCCTGACTAGCAAATGTCTGGCCATCGCCATCGTTGGCCACCGGACAACACAACAATGGCTGACCAGCGTCAGCATTAGGGTTACTCCCCGGATCCGGCCTCGTCTCCCTTTGATTAACAATGATGGGCATTATTTTTGCAAATAAATTCTGCTTTTCGAGGAGGCCCGAAGGACGAGGTCAAGGCAAAGGCATGTTCTGTTTGTCCAATCGTCGACATTTTTCCATGCTCAAGTTGCACTTTATTGATTTATGGCAGTCAGCGTCAATCATTGGGCCTCATGGCTCATGGTTGGTCATAATTGCACATTTGCTAAGACCAACAAGGACACACACACAGTAACAGAGAGAGAGAAAGAGAGACACTCAGGGGGTCTGGCGGAAGCTTTTAAGCAAACAGGATGTGCTGTGTGCTGTGTGCATGTGTGTTTGTGCAACAGCTTTCGGGAACAATACTTACAAGTCCGAGAAGTTGAGGCAAAACAATGCATTTGTTATGCAAAGCCTTTGATGTTGTCCTTGGGCCAAAGTGCCGACTACAGGAAGAAGCCGAGCCTACAGATGTAGATGACAAAATGATTTTGCAGTAAGCGGGACCGGCAAAACACTTTGCCTTTTTATCGGAAAATGCTCTTCAACTTTCCAACGAGTCCAGTTTGAGGCTGAGGCCTTGCCAAATGGGTCAACAGTGAAAACAACTTGGCCGGCCGCAGAAACTTTTTGCTGCCTGTGTCGAGGACTAAGAGATGAAGAGCAAAATAAGAAAGGCACACCCAACCAAAATAATTAAGGTTCTTCAAACTTATTGACGGTTTCGGCGCGGGGTTGGAGAGGTTGAAAATTCCAGAGATAATAATTAGGGCAAGCCGACACACAGAAAAAAGAACAAAAGCCAGGAAGTGGCCAAAAGTAAATGGCAGCACAGAAAACAAGAACAAAAACAAAAAGGACGCTAAATAAATATATATATATATATATATATAAACCCATCTAGGAGGGCTAGAAAAAATTAAAAAGCGGCAGCTGGAGGAGGACTCCTTCGTAATACCCAGCTAAATTTCTACATAAACGAATGTCGGGCGCACTTAGCAGGCAATTGTGAGATAATTTAATTATGCGCCACTCCTGGCACAAGCAGCAGGCAGGATAACAGGATAATGATAACGAAATAAGCAAACCAAAAGGGCTTACACCACATTCCAGGCCATAAAGAGCCAGCTCGAGGATGGCCCAGATTAAATGTGTTATATATGTGTGTGTGTGTGCGATGGTAAATTAAATGAAAAATGGCCAACGAGCATTACGAAACCATCTCTCTCTGTGTGTGTGTAAAAGCCCGATAACAACAATATCGGCGACGGCGACGGTGTGGCTTATACAAATTGCACCCTCTTTACCAACTTAATTGCCCAACCGGAAGCCGGCGGCAAACTTGTCGCCGGATGCGATATTCTATATGTTTTGTGTCACCGGCCACCAGGTAGCACCAGCAGCTGTAACAGAAAAACCATTGCCATGGCAGCATTAAGCATAATTAGCGTACATATAAATTATTCAAGAATAGCAAAAGGTCAATTGCGGTGGATACCACTACGCAGTGGATATACAGTGGCTCACAGCTTATTTCGTGCAAAGGTTAACCTAAAATTCAAACTCGTATATTTAACGAACGGTAAGAGGTATCAACAAAATTAAATGCAGTTTTGTTAAGTAGGATTTAGGCATTTATAAGGACACTTCCTTATTTTTAAATACCATTAGATAACGCTTTAAACTAAAATACAAAAAAATACTGTCTTTTTTTATGTCACAGCTTATTTCGTGCAAACAACTTGATCTTAAATTATAATTATAATAATAAACTTAATATTTTGTGTGGCCTCCATATTGCTTAATTACATCCTTA